ACAAATTCTCATTTAATTTACAAGTTATTTATATACGGTAAACAAAATAAATTATACGATAAATTGATCTAAATTTAATATAAATACCCAGTGAGATATGAAAAGAAAACAACGGGTAAATATTTATACACTATACATAGCAAAGACCGTTATTACGTCATAATCGTTCACAATCGCTCACCTCTAACACATATCTTCGACCTTATCACCACCTAAATAGTTCTGATTCTTAAAAACAAATTAACACTTTTGGTTTTTTACATAAAGCTATAACAACAGTTAACGTTACTTAATAACCTTCAAATATTTCACACAATTTACATTTACTTATAGCAGTTCACGTTAAAACTTATTTAAATCATTACATATCATTATACAATATTACAGGCTGTTATAAAAGAAATATTTCTTCGTTTTTTTGCATTTTTATCACATAATTTGTTAATTATAATATCTAGTGCCTAGTTCTTTCTAACGCTAAGTACTTAATGGCTAAATTATGCAATATATTGACACAAAAATATCTTTTACAGTATATATATAAATTATTTATGCTGGGTATAAGATTCATCATTAGTACCAAAAATGTAAAATCTATCATTTATATTTAATTATAGATTCTTGTGAATATTCTTATACGCAGTATAAATTATGTGACGTTTATTGTTTATTGAAATATAGCTTTATCAATAAGTAATACATCACTTTCATTAGAAACCTTAATAAGCCTCTTTTTCTGCATTTGCGAATATATATTATATGTTACATACATACTTATTGTAAAAATGCATTTTTTTTTGCAAAAGGACAATAAAATAACTATATTTAATTCTAATAAGCACCAAGCTAAAATTCGGATTCCATAAAATTTTGGGAAATTTTGTAATATTTTTTATATCTCACTAAGTTACTACTTTAAGACTCATAGCATAAAATTAATAAAGCTATATTTCAGAAAACAGTTATAAATTATAATATATACATACATACATACGTAAGCCACGCTATTTATATTAAAACGTTGAAACATTTGGTATCGATTGGATAGTGGAAATTGACTGCGTTGCGTTCCTCACTATATTACATGTATTATATTTACATATTGTTCTTAGCGATGGCACACGATCAATTGGAAAATCCTATCTTAGAGTCGATCAAGACATTAAGGACGTTATGTATACCTTATAATAGAAGATCTGAAGTAAGAACTTCTTCACCCATTCACTTGCCAGACTAAGTGTTTTGAATTTGGTGTTTTATAGGAAGAAATATAGTATAACGTTAATACAATGAAAAGCAAGCGAAACAAAAAAAAAACAGAAATTATAACATTATTTTTAGTAAAATGGACCCTTCGATCATATGACAGTAGGTAACCCATCTGCGATATACATGTTTATAAATGTATATTACTTAATTCAAAATACTTTCCATCCGGTAAGCAGATGGGTGTAGTACGATCTAACTTCAGATCTTAGACTTCATAATAAAATATATTAGAATTGGCGCAATAGAATATAATATATAGCGTTCAATTGCAACTTGTAGATATTGACAATGCATTTAATTAAATTATTTAAACAGACGATTGTGTCTGTAAAACGACTGTTAAGCTCTAGTAATAGCAGTCCTTTTCAGAAACAATATCAAAAGTATGCATTTAGGGAGTGAATAAGAAATTGTCACTTGTTCTCCCTTTAGTAAGCCAAGCTCGATAGTTCATTACACTTATTTTAAATATATTAAAAAAAAACAGCACGAAAATTGTTATTTTTTGTTTAATTTTCGCTCACGATGAATTTAATGAATGAATAATTCCATTAGCTTCCACTTCAATTTCCATTTTCACGAATCTAAGTACTAGACATTAAGATTGGAAAAATTGCTACCATTCAGATTTAGAAAAATTGATAAAAAAGAAATAAAAATGATATAAGAATAGCTCTTATATTTTGTTTTTTTTTTCTATTAGTAAGATTTCAGAATGCAACTCTATTATTTTAAAACTTTTTTATTCTATCTAATCTTTTCTAGTGTTTATTTACAGTAGTAATGCACACTATATTTACAATCCCTTTCATTATATACTGAAAATTCTATCGATTCATCACAATAACTACATAATACAACAAATATAATTAATAAATTACCATATTATTGTCGAATTTAAATAAACCGGGAAGAAATTTAGAATATCAAAATAGTATAAGATCCGAAGTAAAATTATCTTTCACCCATCTGGTTACCGCATGCAAACTATTTTGTATTAAACATAATACATAAATATAAGAGAAGTTACCTGATGATGTATGATCAAGGCCACAATTAATAAAAAAAAAATATTTTGTAACATTTAACCACTTTTCCGCTGAACACTTCTTCGGATCTTAGACTAAAATCAAATTGCTTATCTAAGTACGGCCTATAAGTACTATTGCTGCTGATATCTATAAATTATTAAGTCCCATCTATCTATAAGTTATTAAGTCTACTTTTTTTACTTTTTACTGTTTTTTTAAATGGAGACACACTAATTAAAATAATTCAATATCAATATTAAATCGAATTAACGATTAATTGCTATTTATAATGTTGTTTTCATTTCTTTAAGTCGCACTAAATTGAAGATCTTATAAAAATCGCCAGTAATAAAAAAAGTTGATGTATAAAATAATATTATGGCACAATTGGGTTAAAAATAAAAAATGGCCATTTTAATACTCTTTTAAATTACTGACGTCATTACTTTAATATTAATCGTTTACAATATTTACGTGAGCGAAAACCCGGTGCTTTAATATTAGTTTAGTTCATTAATTGAAAACTTAAAAAAAAAACATTAAAACCATGATAATGTGTTAAAAATTAATATTTCATAAAGTACTATTATACACACTTTATCGATTAATCGATTCCATATCGATTTGAAACATAACTCATCAATATATTAATTTGATTCAATTCACAGTTCTAATAACATTTAGGACTTATATCTTACTTTGTTACACAGCAATATATAATACTTAAAAGCAAATCATTTAAAAAATAATACTTTAAATTATCGAACACGATTACGTGAATTAGCTTTTTGGTTTTGAAGTTCTAATTTCAAAATAAAGCAAATATAAAATGTCATAAATATACTTCCAAACAACTATGAGATACCAACAGACAACTATTAAACATCTTTTCTTGACATTTGAAATATAGCAATTGTCCTCAATATGAGATCGAACTTACTTTATTTTGAAACAATATCGAAAAATTATTATTTTTTATTTGCACCCTAACTATATACAATTATGATTGAATAATGTACATTTATATAAATAACCGTTCACAGCATCTCAGGCTAATAGGCATTAAAATGAGGATTCTTTAAAGAAAATAAATTTATATTTGGAGGACTACAGCAATAAATTAAATTATTATTATTATTTTAAATAAAACTTTTATTTCAAATATTTGCGTAAATATAAGACAGTATTATATTATATTTTTTTTATATTTTATAACATTATGTACAATTTTATAATTATCATATTGATTTAAAATATAACTTAAAACTCATTTTAATGCCTTTTAGTTGAGGAAATATTTAAGAGCAATTATTTTTTTATTTATTCTAAGCTTATTACCAGCCTAGAGTAGACCATACACAGATGTACTTAAAATTTTGTAAACCTATTCAATTGAAATAAGAACCCTATTAGCTTCAACTTAAGATCTATTTTTGATTGTATTGATTGTGTAGAGAAAAATTACAATAGAACTTCAAATGGATTTATGATTAAATATTATATATGACAATATTGCTTTACATAATACGTAAAATATCTTTATATATATGTAAAATATAAATGAGAAAATATAATATACAAAAATGTTCGTAGCTATAATAATAATTATTAATAGTGAATTTAGCTATACGAAGACTAAGCAGGCTGGTATTCGCTTCCAAGTTTTTGATCGCTCAATAAATAATTGTATTGTTCGTTATAATACACTTTCGTAGACATAAATCAGTTAAAAAACATCTTTGTTACTTTATAGATTTAAAATTCTCCAAATAATAAATAAATATTGATATTTAAAAAATACATCGCATTTACACGTTGTTTTCAAAGGAAATTCTACGCGGTTGACTATTTAACGGAATATTATGATAATTAATAGTTATTTTGTTGTTTGGTGTTAAAATAGCCAACCGCTCTAACCTGTGAGAGCTCGTCGGGCGGCGGAGGCTAGTGTGAGGGGAAAAGAGGGTAAAATGGTGTCCTCTCTCAACTGATAAAATTCGCTAATCTATACAACTGGACCAAAAGATCAATATGGCGTAAAACAGAAGTATATCTATCTAGTATCTATACATATCTATCTATCTAAACATATATCTATATATAAAACAAAGTCGGATTTGTTACAACACTTATAATTCGTGAACGGCTGGACCGATTTTTATGATCTTTTTTTTGTTAGATTTGTCTTCACCCAGAATAGCAGAATAACTATTAAAATATCGGAAAAATTCAATTATAAATAAAAAAATACCTATTAAATTATAACATAAGTACCTACCAGCTGTGCTCTAATGGTTAGAAATGAAATATTTTGTCCAGTTATATAGATATTAGAGGTAGCAAGATTTATCGTATGGCGGATGCGAGTGATAAAATAAGGGCCGAGAGAGGCAACCCCTCAACTCGCTGTTTCATTAAAAATTGTAAAACGTATGCGAGTGCGAGACGTTAAACAAGAGCAGAGAGAAACCCCCAAAATCAACAACTATTTCACTAAGAGTTTTTTATTTTATTTTAAAATAAAATAAGAGTTGTATAACGGTAATATTCTTCGATCAACAATACTACTGTTGATCGAAGGCTATATTACACTAAGAATTGTTTAAGAGCATAGAGAGAGAGGGAGTTACTCAAGTAGTTGTTTCGGTAAAGAGCGTGCGCGGGGCGCCCCCCTCTGCTCTATGAAGGGCTTCCCCCTCACAGCACGCTCTCCCGCTGCGAGAGCTCGGGCGGCTCGGGCGGCGAGGGCGGCGACGGCGGGTCGGAGGGCGAGGCGGCGGTGCGCGTGATGGCGGGCGGCGACGCGAGGCGCGCGCCCATGGTGATGGGCGTGTCGTCCGGGTCGTCCTCCTCGAGGTCCTCGTCGATGGGGGTCAGTACGTCTATTGGTTGATGGATCTCTTCTTCTTTGCTATAAACGATATATTTTTATATTTGAAAAAACGTGTGTGCGTCTTATGTACGCACGTAAGAAGTTATACTTCTTTGGCATAACAGAACAAAAATAGCTCAAGATTTCATCCCGTATGTCACAACTCACTGTTTGTAAAAGGAATTAAGCTAACTTCATCGTGCAGCTTATTGGCTGTCGGTGTGCGCGCATAAGCAAATCAACAGCAATTTTTGAAGTAAAACTTCTTTTAGGGTGACTTAGGGGTAAGACAATACATTGGAAAAATTAGTGTCGCGAAAGTAAGAGTCAAATTTATTATTAATAATTTAAAAATATATACATATGTATATATAAATTATATTTTGATTTTCTAATTTACTTGCGGTATCTGCCACAGCGCCATAGAAGTTTTATTTCAAAGGCGCGTAAAGGTTACACGCACTAAAAAAAATTCTCGACTTCAATTTTAATTATGATTTCTCTTTGAATAATTAAGTAACAAAAATTAAAATTAAAGATTTAATTCTTTTTATAACTAAAAAATGGCGTAATTTTTCGTATTTCATTGTCACAATATGGGAAAATATCACGATAATAATGTTTTATTTTGATCTTACTTTCTACACATATTTTTATTTAAAATAATGCACTTTATTTTAAATTCAGATATTAAGTAACCTCATAATGGCACAAATAGGTAGGACATAATACATAATCAGTATTATTGAAATATAATAACGTTTTGATGTGTCTTCACATCAACCAGCCGGCTTTAACAAGCGCTAGATACCTCGCTTAGTGCGACATGTACGTACTCTACTTGATTTATCTTCTAAACTAATTAAAATCCCATTCTGTAATTTTTATGGTAAAATTTATATGTAATATGTCATTAAAATAATCGAAGTTATTAAAATTTTAATTTGAAATATTTAATTCCAGTTTAACAATAGAAAAATAATTTAAATTTGGAACTAGATTAAACAATAAAAAATAACATTAAATTTTCTATACGAAAGACTATATATATTATTTTATTACTAATTAATTACTTCAATATGAAAAAAGAATCCAAAAAAACCTTCTGTCAATCTGTTCAATTCTTTATAATCCCATAAGATGGCAACTAAATCTCAAATAAAAAAAATATTATGTCTACATGTTCATATCCCATAGAAGTACAAATATGCCTAATATGAACGAATTTCAGACCTCACTTATTTTTCGTTGTCCGCTTCACATGAAGTGCCATTTAAAATCAATTACTTTCGATTTTTTTTATTAGGAACCAAAATTACAGACTGCTAACGTGAGGCGTTGGAAGCTTCTAGAAAACATCTACAACTCACCGTCTAAACATCGGCGCGGCGAAAGACGTAAGTGTGGAAGCGAGGAAGAACGCGGCCGCCATATAGAAGGACGCGTCGTAGTTCTTTGTCGCGTCATACACTGCGCCGGCCAGCGGAGATCCAATTATAGCGGCCGCGCCACGGAACAGTATGAGGAGGCCGAACGCGTTAGTCAACTTGTCCAGCCCGAGGAGATCCACCAGGATAATAGATGTCAGCGAGATGTAACCAGCTGTGCGTATTATAATTTTATTAATCGTACCACTATTATTATTATTATTTCTATTTATTTTAAAGGCTTTTATTTAAAAATTATGCCAGCCATATAACATATCTTAATATATCTTAATCTACATAGTTACATAAACCGGATCCTAACAAAATTGCATACCATCTTGGCTTCCTCAGAAGTAGGAAGGACAAAATGGTGTTAAAATTACCTATATCGAAACCTCAATTGTAAATGCGAGCCTGTATGTGTACAGTGTACTCGTACGTATGTATGTTTGTTATTACTGCATGCTAAAACAGCTAGACAGATGTAGATGAAATTTAGTAAATATATAACTGTGACTTGGAGAAACATATTATGAGCTACTGTTGTCTTTTTAAATAAAACTATCTTTTCGGATTTTTTCGCGGATTCATTTTGATATTTGGTTCCCAACGTTTCGAATACTTTACAGCAATCATGGTCACGGGAGAGAATGGTCCGAAAAGATAGTTTTATTTAAAATGTCAAATATTGTCGTAAATCAAAGAATACTGAATTAACATACTAGCTACGTTAAGTCGACGTACTTAACATACAATTGGAAAAAAATTGTTGACAAGATGAGTCTCTTCTCGTAATCGGTAATCGGTCGTAATAAATGAAACAAATATGTAGAGTAAAGTCATTTAGTGAAAAATTTAAATGGTAAATAAAAAAAACTTACAGATAGCAATACCAAAGGCAATGGCGACGGCAACGAATGACGCGTAAGAACTGCAGAAAGGTGTGAGCGCTACAGCAATCTGTTGGAAATATATGCAAATATAATAAAAAAAATATTTCGTAAATAAAAATATAAATAAATGTCAAATTCTTAAATTTAATTAATTTGCTTTTTTTTATTTATATAAATAAAGCACTTTAAAAATTGTCCATTTCATGATATGTTTGACCATATCATAAAATGGCTGCATTTCATGATTTAAGTCTTACTTGCTAGACAATCGAGGCATTATAATTGGATACTGGTATTTTTTAATTATACTTATTATTATCGTAGTTATACTTCTTTTGGCGCGTTTGGAAAAAAATGTGAGATTAAAACTTTTACGATGCACACGCACACCAACCAAAAAGCGACATGATGAAGTTAGCTGCATTCCTTTTACAAACAGAGAATTGTGACGTACGGGATGAAATCTTTACCTATTTTTGTTCTGTTACGCTAAAAAAATATAACTTCTTAGGTGCGTACATAAGTACACACACATGTTTTTTGAAGTAAAACTTCTTTACGCACGCTTGACTTGCGGGTTAGCTGGTGAATGCGTTACGAGGAAATATAATGCGTTACGAAAAAATGTACGTACGTTTGTTGCCATGGTAACAATTGTTATTGTTTGACAAACTATATATAATATTATATTCTTTCCTTAAGTGATATTCTATAAATATGTGATTGTAATATGCCTAATATGCGATATTTTTAGTATCTCACCTATCCTAATTATTTAAAACATAAATTGAATTTCATAAAGAGTACCGATAACATACAGAAGTTTTACTTCTTCGCGTGTACATATTCATATACGCACTTTAAAATTTTTTTTATTTATTGTTATTTTACCGTAGCAATGACGAGGCACACGTTGTTGAGCAGTAACGAATCCATCCAAGGGAAGTCTGCGACCCACCCGCACGCGATACGCCCTATCGTGTTCGTGATGCCGATGATGGAGAGTAGGAACGACGCTTGGGATTGCTCGACGCCCTGCAATTGTTATTGGGTTGATGGGGTTAGTCATTTAATATGGTATTTTACTATGTAAAATAATAAAGCTCTAATATTAGAATAAGCCATTGGGTACTGTATTGAATGTACTAACTCATTTTATTTAAACTAAGGTCATGATTTCTCAAAGAAGCCATCTTTGAGAAATCAAATCTAATCAATTCAATCAAATCAAAAAGAAATCATAAAAATACAAGAAAAAATCACCAAAAATAAAATATGTCAAAATCAAAAACAGTTGTGATTTGGTATAATTGTGCTACTATTCTATTCTCGATTTTGTTATTATTCAGATTGTTTGTTTTTTTTTAAAGAATAAGGGAAAAATTATTTATTTAATTGACCAGCGTATTAGATAAATTAAAATATAATTTTAAACAATAAGATATGAATGACAAAAACAATATTTTATTTTTTTATATTTTTAAGCATTAGTCATCCATCTATCTTCCCCTTAAAAAAGAGATAGATTAATATTATTAAATACCTACTTATTTAATTTTTTTCTTTATCATAATAAAATCTGTGAGCTACTTATATTAATCTATACATATAATAAAATTCTAACTAAGCTAAATGTTGACATTAAAAATTATTTAGAAAATCTTATTGAAATAGTAATTATTATCGATACAGAGGCCGAATCTAATTTTTAGAAATTTTGTCAATCTGTCTGTGACCGCATCACGAAAAAACCACTGGAGGTATTTCGATGAATATTGGTATGATGATAGCTGGTTATCCGGGTCAACATATAGGACACTTTTTACTGCGGGAAAATATCTCACATCTGAAAAACGTTAAAACGTAAGTAGGAACGAGTCGGAGGGGAGCGAGGGTGAGTCGCTAGTTGCGTTATTTACTTAACACTCAGTATACAAATTGTCATTTGAATACTATTTTAAAACATTATTGTTTTACTTCATGTTTAGTTAGACACTGTCAATATTATTCCTTAGTCTAAAGATATTTAGTAGTTACCGCTCTAAAACTTTCTAGACGACACGTTATGTTTAATTTGGAGTGACCCTACGTGCTGTACAGCTGTAGCGGTCGCGGGTTCGAATGCCACTAGGGGAAATCATTTGTGTGATAAGCACGAACGTTTGTACTAAAATCATGGGTGTTTATATTTATAATATGTATATATATTGAAAGTGTATATATCTGGTATTATGGATGACAACCCAATATATTTATTTGTTATTATTTTATTGTATAGGCGCGTACTGACCGCGAGGTGCGCCGCGTCCACGATGTAGACGAAGGGCACGTAGAGGCCGGCCATGCCGAACACGTTGGACACGCCGATGAGCATGAAGGCGGGGTCGCGCAGCAGGCTCACGTCCAGCATCGACGCCAGCGCCGACTTGAACGAGCTCGGCAGCGACAGGCACGGGCATAGCTCGTACTCTGCGATATCAACAGTACATTTCGAATGCTTCACAGTTTACAGCAATCTATACATACATATAAATAAAATTGAAGTGTCTGTTTTTAGCTTGTCTGTCTTTCTGTTTCTTCCGACTTATCTCAGAAACGGCTGAACTGATTTTAACGGGACTTTCGCTGGCAGATAACTGATGTTATGTATAATAAGGAACTTAGACTTTTTTATTTTAGAAAAAAAAACTAGGGTTACGCTCAAAAAAATCAAAACGTACCTAAGGACGTCTTACTATTAACGTAAATAGAATCATTAATTATGGTTTTTTGAATCTGGAAATTGTAAGTAAAAATATTATATACAATTTATTTTTTTATTACAAATTGCAACCGCAAAAGCTGCTGTATAGATTTTAAAAAACCTATACAGTATATAATGTAGCTACATGTGGTATAGTGTAAGGTTTCAGAAAAATCCATTCAGAAGTTTTTGCGTGAAAGAGTAACAAACATCCATCCATCTATCTTCACAAATATACGCGTTTATAATATTAGTAGGACTGAGTAAAAAATCCAAATGCATACATATATTCATTTTCAATCTACCTAAAATAATTAATTTTACGATTGAATACATTATATGGAGGCACAGCAGCGACCCAGCTAAGTCGAGCAAAAAAAAGTACAGTCGTAACAGTCAGATTCTATTACCGCATTAATAATGTTGGTATTTAACTACATAATTAGGTAACAAATTACGACAACATTGTTGGATAGATGCTTCCAAATTTATGTACTGAATAAATTAACCGACTTGGTTTTACATTAGAAACACAGATTTTTACAGTAGAAGAACTACGTTGCGAGACTTGCATTTTTTACATGTTATGTTTTTGATGGGATTATACTTACGTTCAGTTCTTTCAATTTCGCCAGCTTGTCTGCTCTGAGGGAGACTCAACACCGAGTTCCTATAGCCTTGCAATGATTTCTGACTCTGATATTGGGGAAGGTTTATAACAGATCCGGAATAGAAGATGTCTTTTCTGGATAGTGGTCGTACTATTCTAGAAGGTTCTCGAGCCGCAGCGACTGATAGCTTTGAGTTATATACTCCACTTTCTGCATCAATCTGTCAATTTATACACAATAATAATTTAATATATAATATATTTATAAAGAATGTACATTACAAAATAAACAGCGCAGAAGTACTTCAATGGCAAAAAATATCACCTTGTTTAAAGGATGAGTATAATTCCAAACCAATAAATATTTTTTTACATTCGCATATATACTATTATTGGCAAAATTTAAGGAAAATGATTAATAAGTACATGTACTCTTTCAATGATAGATTTTTTGATTTAGATTTTTGTAAACATTACAAAAATAACCAATATTTTACCATTATTTTTTTTACTATATATAAATAACAATGTAAGTTTTTGTAAAATAATTTAATTTTGATAAAAAGTTTTTAAAGTGTAATTTAAATAAAATTTCATTAGCAGTTTCATGTGTAATTCTCACAATAAATTCATACATTCATTCCACGAAACTAACAAATATAATGTACTACATAATGATATGTTTAAAGTACACAATTAATTTCATCGTATAAAAACAACACATAACAAGTGTTGCGAATGCATATTGGGTTAATGACACTAAATAAACTTTGAAACAAGTTTCGTGGTTATTTAAACTATTTATTGATATTAATATGACATAATTAATTATAATATAATACTTTCTTAGATTTACGCGAATGTTTGACATTTTAAATAAAACTATCTTTTCGGATTAATTCGCGGATTTATTTTGATTTATGGTTTCGAATGCGTTACAGCAATCATGGTCACGGAAAAGACCCGGGACACAAAGAGATGGTTTTATTTATAACATAATATATTATTAATATGTATATCTTGCATATGCCTGCTTATTTTGATAAAAATTAAAGTGTCTATTTTTAAATAAATGACAACGGACATTAAAAATAAATTATTTTATTACTTACATCATTACGATGACTGCTGATTGAAGCTTTGGACGAAGCCTTGATAGCAGCTAAGGACGGCTTAAATCTGAAAACATAAACAAAAAGTTACAAATAGCACCAGAAAAATTATTAACTACCAATTCAAATAATAATGGAGAAGCTTCAAATAATGCCAATTTTTTTTTTATTACAACCCGTCAGGAAAAATCACAACATAAATATTAAATAACCATGCGCGGAAATCAAGAGGCGACCTCCCTCCCAGTTTAAAATAAATACCAACCAATTATCTATATATAGACTATAGTAACGGTGAAGGAAAACATCGTGAGGAAACCTACATGTCTGAGAGAACCTAGCAAGTTTTCGAAAGACATGTGAAGTCCGCCAACCCGCACTTGGCCAGCGTGGTGGACTATGGCCTGATCCCCCTCGTACTGAAGGGAGGCCCGTGCCCTGCAGTGGGACGTTAAAAAGGGCTGAATACAAACATACAGACTATAGTAAATAGATCCATAAACACATTATTTTAGTTTCATAATCCATAAAAAGTAAAATAGTTATATTATAATAAATGAGTCAAGTAAATATCTTTACATAGTATAAAATGAAGTCGCTTCCCCTGTTTGTTCGCTTAGATCTTTTAAACTAATGAACGGATTTTAATGCAGTTTTTAGCAATAGATAGTTATTCAAGAGGAAGGTTTATATGTATAATTTAAATTGACGACACGTTTGGCGTTGGGGTCGAATCCTGCTGGAGGCTTTCATTTGTGTGATGAGCACGAATGTTTGTACTCCAGTAATGGGTATTTATATTTATAATATGTATGTATTTAAAGTTATATATGTGTAATGTATGAACCTTCTGGTATCCATAACACCAGCCTTGTAGCTTACCATGGAATTAGATGGTGATGTGTGTTAATCTCCCAACATATTATTTATAATAGATGCATATTATAGTACAGACAACCCAAGAAATTCAAAGATTTGTATTTCATACTACCCGTTAAAACGTACCTATAATAAATAATTGTAAGTAAAAATCCACAAACCCAAAAGCCAAATTATATAACATAAAACTCATATACATAGATAAATATGTAAATATAACACCAGTGTATGACGCTAAGGCCTATTGTCCACGGAGGCGTAACTTCTTGGGCTTAAAATACTTCAAAATACGTCATACATCTTATGCAGCCTGGCGTACTTTTAACATTTAACTATGTCATTGTTTTCTACCATTTGTGACAATGCCGTTTAACGACGTTGAAGACGTTATTTTGGCTTACCACTACATTCGAAGTCGCCGAAGAAGCATCCGTATATAAATAGAAATATCAATTGTAGCTTGTTGGTAGTTGCAAAAGAATTGTCAGAAAATGATAGTGTATTTAAATTAATGTATAAAATTTATAAAACTACTTAGGTAACAGTATTATTTCGACTTCTGAAAAAAAACTAGCCGTTCCCGCCATTTTTTACAAAGGACAGCAACCTTCCAGGCTGTCTCTTTGTACATTGTTTGTTTAATCTAACCAATACAGCATGAAAAAGTAACAAACACACTCTGAACACATACACCCAATATATGTTTCATTCACTCGTTCATAAACTTTTGTATTTCCAATATTAGCTTGAAGGTGGTGGTGTCTATATGTCTAGTTTTTCGCGTCCATTTTGTTTAGTCGCGGTCAGTTAGTGCGGAAGTCAGTATATATACAATAAAATATATTTCTGCCTGTTGCTCTCGGTACTTCTCTTATACATCGTGAGAGCAATCACCCATGTATTCAAATATCTGTACATCTTCACCAATTTTTAGACTCATTTGCTTACTTTAAAGGCCATTTGACTAGTTAAAACGATAGCATATAATAATTTATAAGTACCCAAAACATTAAAACCCCAAAAATTAATAAATACTGTATATATGTAATATAATACAATACTGCACACAAACATTCAGAAACACATTATAGAAAGTCTTTTCTATAAAAATGACCCTATCCTTATCAATCCCAAACCTTTAACCTCTACCTACATACATAGATCCAAAAATTTGTGCACAAAAGCGACCCTTATTATTCCCATTTCAGCGTCATCGCCATTTTTAGCCCAATATGATAGCAGATAGACAAATCCACCACCCAAAATGAAAACAGCAAATACCTATCGTTACTCTTATCAGTCTTTTCGGACTTTTCCGATTTTTCTAATTTTTCTGACCTATCTGCTGAACTGTGTTTTCGTTGGCGGTCGAAGAATGGGACCGATCCGTTCTTGGGCAGACCGGGTGCTTGTGCGCTGAAGGCCGGGGAAGATACGTTGCGAGATATTTGTTGCGCTTGTGCATTCGCTGAACCATTTTCGCGCTGGAATTGTAACAAAATGTATCAGAGATGGTTTATTTCACTTGTAGATGCTTTCGGAATTAACAAAAGCAGTTTAAACTATTACGTAACAACATTTTTTTTAGATTCGAAGATGGCCCTTCACTCATCTGTTAAACAGAGGGAAAGTATTTTACAATAAGTATTTATATAAAAAAATCTCTCATTTTTTGTCTAGTTAAAGGGTGTAGGGAGTTATTTACTAAAATATCTTTAAATTGGCCTAGCCTACTTCTGCATGTTTACTACACGATGTACTAGAATGTATTATCAAAGTTAAGCAAATAAGTAAAATACTAGGAACTCATCTACGATGTATTACAACATTCTTTTTAGATAAGGAGAATTACCATAATTTGGATCTTTTTACTATGACAGTACCAGTTCGAGTTTTTATTTTATCGTCAGTGCATTTTACGCCAGTTTTTTTTAAGCATTTTACACAAACTAAACAGCGATTTTATCCAGACAAGTTAGATTAAGCCGGAAGTAGTCGCTATTTAATCTGCTCACAGCCCAACAATCTATACGAATTGTATTGGATTGTAGAGTCAAAATTTTAGTATACCTAATTTCAATGACCTTTTTATATCTATCTATGATTTTTTGAAGCGTGTAATTTCAAATTAAATGAATTATTCTAAAAAAGCTAAAAAAGAATACGTTACCTTTTTCTTTTCTCCATTCTCGTCTATTCTGGCTTCAGTAATGGTGGGTAATGTGGGGACGGTGGGTACTCCTGGCATGTTGGGGATTGTTGGTACACGGGCTAAAGCCTCCAAATTAAGAGATGAATGTACTCCAGGATCTATATTTAAGGGTGCCTGAAATAGAAGATGTTAGAAAATAATGAGTTCTTATTCAAAAATAACACCAGTTTGAAATTAATGTTAAAACTACTTTTTCGATATTTTAGATGTATAAATCTTATACGTATATTATTTTTAGGTTATGTATTAATTTACGTTAAGTAACTATAAGTACCTTCATTCTTTTCTCCATAGTACCATCAGGTAGTTGCACCACAAAGTATGAACCTCCTATTGAACCTCTTTCCATTTGCAACCTTTTCTCTTCAGCCATACGCTGAAGCAATGGCTTTTCTCCCGATGTCTATTTAATAAGAAAAAATATGTATATGTAAAAATTTGATGATTTAATTATATACTAGCATCTCACCCTCACTTCGCTCAGATTAATCCCTAGAGAGAAACAAAAACACATATATCCCAAAGGAACCATACATTTTCCGGGATAAGAAGTAAGTATTCCAGATTATAATATATATATATATATATATATATATATATATATATATATATATATATATATATATATATATATCGCATTTCTATAGTAAGAAAGATTAGATTTATATTAACTACGTAGAACTACCTATAGTTCTAAAGGTTCATATTACATACCTTTAGATAAATCTAAGTTTAAAGACTTTAAAGCTTTTTTTATATGAGAATAAAAATTACTGCCATGTCTCTCCTTCAAGTTGTTATGGACTATATAGTATACTTATTTATTTATTACTAATACGTATAATAATTAATAATATCTTAAATAAGAATAGTTAGAAATCTATATACTAATACGTGAAGAGAAAACGTTGAACCCCTTTTTAAGCAAATTGCACCTACAGAGTTTAAGCTTAGGCATAGTTAAAGTTTATATAGAGAAGGAGTGCAAAAAGCCAAAAATTTATTGACTTTCTTTTATCCGCGATCCGCCTTGACTGCTAAAAATGTGGCATGATGTTAGATAACGAGTAGGCACTTATATATTATAAGCATGAAAAGTTTGTTTGTCTGTACGTGCAAATCTATGAATCTATGGGCCCGTTTGAAAATACTTTTGGATTTTATAGGCTATCTATATAACTTTGAAAAAAGAACCTTAATGTTGATCAAACTGAATAAATTATGGTTAATTTTCAACCACGGGGCTATCACTAGTATATTTAAAGAGATTTAAATATCTATTTCTGTATTATATACCTACTAATCCGTTTATCCTATTTTATAGAATACAAGATAAACAAACACTAAACAGATAATTAGAGCAGCTGAAATGCACATTGAATCGGGTGCAACATTGAACGTAATCTAAATTGAAACTCCTATTTTTAGTCACCTGTCATACTGAGTGTGCAGTGATTTGAATTAAGAACCTAACCCAATATTGGAAGAGAATAAAGAACAATAAATAAAGAAAAAAAAAACATTAGTTTTCTGAATTTAGCAAATTACCTTCTTTAATAATTTTGAACCATGCAACATTATAATTGGCTTATATTAATGGTTCCAGAACAAAACATACTTTAAAAGTGAAGATAGTTGCCAGTTACATATAACTTCGAAGCATTAAAATATATCTTACATTTAGTATATGAATGAATGGAACGTTAATTATTATGATTGCAATGACATCTATCAATCATCTTGTAGCATATAACTGCACTTATAATAGATACCTACATAATATATTATTATACGATTTCATAATTTGGCATAGACTGATATGACAAAACTAGGTTTTTGGACAGTTATCAAGTAAAATGTTATTGAAAATAATGTTCTTGGAAAACACTTTTTAGTTCTAGCAATTAGTAGCTCTTAGAAACAAGCACGTGCAGTAATCCCATTTAATATCCACTAGTCTCATAGTATTCACATTCACATTTTGCCACGTGCATACACTCATGACTATTTTTAACCAATTACGCGCGTGAACGGGTAATGTTGTTTATTTATAAAATCTATATGTTATTGCTTATCGTACCATATGGAATAACTGGTTTTTATTTTAATACAATATTTTAACCATTAATGACATAAAAACAATAAGTGCCATTAAAAATACTTAAATGTATACTTGTTTATATAATACTACCGTCATAGCAAAGAAGGTCGTAACTAACGATTTGGTCAAAATGGCTTTTATGCAGATTCAAAATCAGCAAAAAAATGCTACTCGATAGTCATCATGTCTCTAAGTTTTATGAATCCGGAGATACGATAACCATTTTCATCGTTACTACGTCAAAACTAGTAGTAATTTTGATGTAGTAGTAACACAAAATTTCAAATATCTTGTAATCAACTTTGACTTACTTGCGGCATTCTTTTTTATGACGGCAGAATATATATTATTTATAAAGTATTACTGAGTATGTACTCCAAATAATAGTACTTTAAGTAACTAACTATTTTAACATTATTTACAAATAAATCTTTACAAAATATTCATACGTACTTTGGGATACACCAGCGGTCTCATTAACGCTCCGAAGACAGCACAGTTTAAAATTAATCCAGCAAGAAGAAGATTTGCATTCTGCCATGTACCGAATTCGTTCAACAGTATAGCGGCTAGAGGGGCGAAACTGAATGTACCGACACCAGAGCCACATACTGCGATACCCGTGGCTAGGGACCGACGGGTTTCGAAGTAGTACCCTACAGCTACCACGGACGGCAAGTAGATCATTCCGAAACCCATACCTGAAATAAAATTGTGCTTTTGTAAAAAAACATATTTAATTCCACAAAAAAATTGTATGTTATCAAATATATTGTCATTTTTATGTATTTCTGTTAAACCTATTCGGTATTATTATAAACTAAAATAGGATATAACTTTATGGAGTCGAAGGGTTTGATAAGAGCGTTCCGTTCTATTCCGTATACATGTATAACATATACAAGTATTATTCATTCATTTGTATTTTATAGAAAGTATCAAATTTAAGCCCGATGAAGACTGTAAAGGTTATAAATTAGTACTCTTCTAACTTCTACATATGTATTAAATGCGCGTCACCTCGTCAAGGGTATAGCATTGAGAATGAGGATATTGTGTAAATTATAAATAATTGATCAATAAATTGTAGGATCCTGCATAATTTATATTATAATATAAAGAATGATGCATGAAAAAATTCTCAAAACGAGTATGAATTGTAAAGTAATCAATATTTTATGTGTTTTATATTAATAAAAGTAATATATTGTGTTATATAAGTGAAGTATTACTACTTTTTAAAAAGAGCAATCTCTATTCAACGCAAGGAATTTAAACCTTACAATAGCTTTAAACCGGTTAAAATCCTAACAATCAAAACATACCGTCCAATTGACTACCGCAATATTTGACACTAGTTATTTGCTCAATCATTTCGATCCCAATGCTCGAGTTTGAGGCAATAAACTAAGAGGCCTATTACCATTACGTCTTTTGAATTTCACGACCTTGGCATCAATCAGATTGCTTCAGAGCCGAAATTATAGAGTAATTGGTTTTTATTATAATCAGCCATCAGCATTCCAATTGAATATTTTTTTGAATGTAGGATTTTAAATCAAACCAAGTATACATATACCTAATTAAATAATAGGTCTACTCAAGTACTCGTATATTATTTATTAAAATTATTAAGATACATTTTCACTTCACTAAGCATAATTTAAAATTTGTTTTGTTTAACATTTGTTATTCTAATAAAACAGATCCATTTGTGTATATACCAATATCTGGAGTATGATAACGTGTGACTCAGTATTTGCGGCCCACAAATCGCATTGAAACCAAACAAAGGACTCGGAGTGTTGCAAGGGGGTCATCAGCATAAAATTAATATGCGTCACTTTCCGGGAAACAATTCATAAACATATCATGAAAACTAAGTTCACACGTACTTTTATTTTAAGAAATATTTTTAGGAAATAATTGTGTGTACAACAATTTTTTTGGTAAATTATAATCAAAACATTCTTGATTTTTTATAAAAAACAACAGATGACCTAAAAACATATCACAGAAACTTAAAAATAATTATGAAGTACGAGTAAATAAAATTTTGCCGAAGTTCAAACAAAGAAACATTTTATAGGAGGAACCTTCGAATTTCTTCCCTAAGTGATTTGTTTTCGCAACAGTCGCATAACGTATAGGTCTTCATTGACGAAATTAATAAATTGATATTGTAAGAAATAAAATCTCATTTAACAAATTGACGATGGTACATACAATTAAATAATAAGCCATATAGAATCGATTTACCCACATAGTTATTAATGCTATACCTAAATTTGAAATAAATAAACTTGGACGTGCATTTCATACTTCGATTTGTGATAATTGACGCTAACAACCTGTAAATGTAAAATGTCGTCTTATTTTAATTCGGCAAGATTTTAAAATCACGATCTACTTTATAACAATTATACCAAATATTTCTAGCATTTCGTTTGTTACTTTTACTGTTAATATAAGTATACATCTTTTAAATTGAAGAAACAAAATAATATAAAATATTCAGTCCAATATCATAATATACGTATACATTTAACATTTCAAATATACCTAACGTGTGAAGTGTTTAACTCTGTCATGTTTCATTAACATGCGGATTAATAGATAACTCTCTGATACAAAAACGTAACCTATATAAAATAATTTTGTACGTATATTGTATTGTATGTGCATATTATAAAGTGCCGAATTAAAAACATTCCGATTAGTATTCTGAAATTAAGTCAATTAAAAATATTTAACTTATCTATACTAATATTATAAAGAGGTGAAGTTTGTGAGATTGTGAGTTTGTGACGTTGTAGGGGGTAATCTCTGGATCTATTGAACCGATTTATATGAATTTTGGTAAGAAGATTTGAGACCCTGGGAAGGACATAGGATACTTTTTATCCCGGAAATCATTCCTGAAGGGGTGAAAATGGGGATGAAAATTTGTATTGGGAAGCAAGTTAAGGATGAATCCGAGCGAAGCAAAGGTGAATTGCTAGTGTTATATAATTTTGTTTTCAACTAACTATTCTAAATACTCGTTATCCGCAGTTCCCTTATTAAAATATTTCAGATTTTACTTTAAAGAGTTCAGAAGATAATACCTCAGACAATATGATTCTAAAAAGTTCTAAAGTTATAAAGTCATTTTATGTATAAATGATGTAATTATTGTTATTGAATTCAAATAATTTTGGCTATGAAAATATTTTAATAGTCGTCCTATTTGGATTATCATCTCTTACGATAGGTACTTATGGCACCATGTCGGACAAGGCGCCGGATCGTCTAGGATCTATGGCACCAGGCCAAATTTATGACCTTGAATCAAATGAGTACATAGAAAAATTGATACTGTACAAATATTTGACAGCGTGAATTATTTATAAAACTTGGAGATGCCTTACATAACCAAAACTATAAAAGACACCATAGCTCTTGAATTAGGCTACTAATATTAATACTCTGCTGGCAATAAACATTCTCAGAATAAAATTTCAATGCGAGACATGAAGGTCGAAGCTGGCGCTGTGAATCGATTTTTATGAGAAATTCCAGTTAACGTATTAGAAGTTGCAATCTGGGAAAGCCAAAGTACCCAATTGCATGCAAAGTGAGACATTCATAATTCACATTTCTAGGGTCGAATTGGAAAACCCGCTTTTACTCGTCACTAATTCTCAAAGGGCTAATGAAAAGTCGTACTCGGGCAGTACTCATACTGCTTTGTTTACCGCTCGGCTGGCAACCGTCCAATTTTCACATACGGTTTGTTGCCACCAATTTCAGCAAATTCAGAACAAAGAACATTTAAAACGTTCTGATTAAACTTTGTTGTATGTATTTAATTGTATCATTTGCTTTTTAAGATTTACCTCTACGGATTTTAAAATAATAATGATCAGGTAGGTACTTTATTGGTAGTAATGGAAAATGTGTCACAGTCATTAACAAGCGTTCAGTAAATTAAAAGAACGGGAAAAATTGAATAAAACATTTCACTTGTTAATTTTAAAATATAAAACAAATAGAAGAAAATTAACAAAGAATCCATGAGATTTATTTAGAAAGGTTGCTAAATGTATATACATACATATGTATGCCAATGTTCCAAGGCCATTGGCAACTAGAGTCTGTGTATGTATAATGTATATAGACGATCACGTTTGCTCCAAGCCCTTCGTCTATTTCTGTTGTATATCCAATCGTTTACAAATTCTGTCCGCATTTTAGAATTTATTGAAGCGACAAACGGCAAATTCTATTTTCACGTGAAAAGTATATGTGACCTTTCTGTTATTTATAAAGTTATAAAAGATTTTCATTCCAATTGGTCAAATACTTTCATCAAAGGTGTTTCAAGAACTTTTTGTGGATCCATCTTATTCTTTTACTAGCGACTCACCCTCACTTCGCTCGGGTTCATCCCTAGGTTGATTCCCCATACAAATTTCATCCCCATTTTCACCTCCTTAAGGGATGATTTCCTGGATAAAAAATAGCCGATGTCTTTCCCAGGGTCTCAAGCTATCTTCTTACCAAGCATCTAAATCGGTTTAGAAGATCCAGAGGTTACCCACTACAACCTCACAAACTCACAAACTTTAGCTCTTTATAATATAGTATAGATCACTCTTTGATTTGATGTTTTGATCTTCTGTGTTTATATTTTCTATTACACGTTACACAAAAGTCATAATATTACATTTATGGCATGTCGGATGTGAACATTCAATAAATAATTTTATTCCTACCCTAAATTATTCATAGCAGAACTATAAATTTGGTATGGAAAGTTTATGAAGACCTCTAATGGATTCTAATTGCTTTGACGAAATTGCTCTTAGTGAGGCGACATTGTTTCTCTCTACCTACGCAGTAGTTTTTTTACAAATCTGTCTTTACCAACAAGGTTGCGTTGAATCCTTGCAAATAAATGTTATGTAATATTTACATGAGAAAATTTGGATTATATAAATTTAAAAGTATCTATAATTGACATTTTATGTAAAGGAGGATAGCTAGATTGACCCCCTTAATTATAACGATTTTTGGCAGAAAATCTGGCAAAAAACGTTACTTAGTAATTACCTAAAGTTGAGAAGCGTTTATGAGTATGGTAGTAACATTACATAATGTATATAATATAACTGTAGACTAGCTTTAATTTAGTTAAAAATGGATAAATTCATAACAAAACAAATATCTGCCTTCCTAATAAATTGTCATATCTTTTGAATTTAAATTTTAGTAGGTACTGAATAATTAAGCGTATTATTCGAAATTAAAAGTAATGGGTAAAACTATTCTTTAAAAATAAATTATATCAATCTCATGTATGACGTAAATACTAAAAAAAAATTTATTACTTGCAGATCCCAAAATTAACTACTTAGATTTGTTGGAGAGACGAAAATGAATCTAGTAGGTACTTTTGTACACAAGTCCGATTAAACAACGGCATTGAAATATAAGTGCATTAAAACCTTTAGCGGTACTTGCAGTTATATGATAGCAATAGGTACAATAAATATACTTGACTCCATCAAACCATTTTCAATGCTTTGTATGACAATTATGAAGGATCTCTTATATTTCTTAGTCTTCAAATTTAGGTAGTTTTTTTTAACTATGAGCTGATTCTTTCGGTGATCAGTTACTAGTACTTGTGCAATCGAGCTTTGCTTTGAAAAATCGTGTTTTTTCGGAAGAGATATACAAATTGAGTTTTTTCAGAAAAGACACCTATATAGATTACTCTAAAAAACAAACTTATCTAAAAACAAAATTTGATCTAAATCTTTAGAGCCGTTTTATTGTATATTACAAGAATTGCTATTTTAATATTACATAATATAATTTTATAATAGATAACGTAATAATAATAACGTACATTTAAAAGTGTTTAAAACTTACCTCCAATAAGCCCATACGTAATCATCATCATAGTGACGCTTTTACTGAAGGTGGAAAGCACAAAAGCTGCCGATGCAACTAACGAACCGGCGATGCATACCGCTCGGCAGCCGTATTTGTTACATAGTGCGGATACCACAGGACCTGAAATATGGAGAAATTGTACTTGTACCTAAATATTTAATTCAAATTATATTTCAACATCTTATAAATCTCACGCCCAAAAAACCTTTTTGTTTTATTTTTTAATATAATGTATGTATGTATTTCGAGAACGACATGACTTAAATGATAAGTGTTAATGTAAGTATTATTTTTTCTTAGTAGTACCTATAGTAGTATTTTTTCTTAGTAGTATAGTATTTTTTCTTAGTAGTATACATAAAATAGATAGATTCACTTGAAAATATCATTTGCAATAGGTATATGCGAGGGCTATAAATAACCAAATATGCATTTTGAGACTATAACTATGCTTATCTTACATATAAAAATAATAAAAATCAGTCACAGCTTTGCTCACAAAAAAAACTTATATTATGCCAAATTCTATTTTACAGTAAATTTTAGTGACGATTGCTTCGAGCAAAATAAAATTGTACCAAATAATTTATACGTATTAGATAAGGAAGCCTTCCTCCGGCATATTTATTTATTATAACTCGTAAATTAAAAATAAAAAAAAACCCAACACGATAACCTATTTATTGAGATCATTTCAAAGGCCTTTGCAGTATTTTAGTAGAGAGTTGATTAAATTGCAGATTCCATGTCACCTGGAATCATAAATTACCATATCATTTTAATGTCAATAAAGTGACGGTATACGAGTACTAAGTTATTGCATCGATTAGATTTGTGGAATTTGTTTATATCCTTTTATTGTCTGGAAAAGAGCTGAAAGATTGAAACGGTTTTTCTGGATTTATAAGCTGAGAATACTTTCGATCAAGTCATCTTTCAAACAAAAAAAACTAAATAAAATCAGTTCATCCGTTTGGGCGTTACAATGCCAGAGACAAATACACAGACACACAGATACACACATTAAACTTATAGCTCCCATTTTTTGCATCGGGGGTTAAAAATACGCTTAATTTAATAATACGTATTCGTGTCGTTTATATGTTTATAAGTCATAATATACAAATTTGTTTATGTTGTAGATTATTTTCATATTGACACCAGTCGTTATGCTTTTATGGTATCTCGCCAAAATCTTACGTAATACGTATTATGTACGTATCGGCAAAGTTTATTACAGCAGTAAATATGTATATTTTGTAATCTTAGATGGCATGCATTATTGTATATGGCTCGTAAGATTACACCAAGGCAAACATCATCCGTATGTCCATAGCGTTAACTAAGTACTACGAGTACATGTCAAGATGAATGCCAAGTATTACCTAATGTATGTGATAATGAAATCAAAGTAGTTTAATAGCTTCTTAGGTATTTTTGGGTTATCATTATCTGTAGATACATAATAAAATTCTAACTGGGCCGAATCAGTACATAAAATATTTTTTGGAAAATCTTATTGAAATAGACATTATTATCGACATAGAAGCCGAACCTATAGTTTTTAAAATTTTTGTCTGTCTGTCTTGTCTGTCTGTCACCGCATCACGGAAAAACCACTGGAGGGATTTTGATGAAAAGCATATATAGCTGGCTATCTGGGTCAACATATTGGATACTTTTTACTGCGGGAATCATCTCCGAGAAATCTATACTAAAAGTTAAAACCTAAGTAGGGACGAACCCGAGCGGAGCGAGGGTGAGTCGCTAGTCATAAATATAATTATATAACTTTAGATGTAAAATACCGCATAGTATGTTATATTCACAATTTACATATCAATATTTTACGTCTGTATAAGCTCTTAACACTTAGGTATTGTATAGTTAGATTTTTTGTTAGTCAGGTATACCTAAATGAAAGTAATTCGATATTTTTTTAAACATGCAAGTAGTTAACACTGGCCTGTAGTATGTTGTCCTACAATTTTTATTGACAAAACTATTAGCCTACAATAATTTATTTAGATGCCTATTAAACCATAGTCGTTAACTCTAGTCCGCCTTGTTCTAAAACCTAAATTATCAACTTGTCAGATTACACTTGTACGCGTTTAAATACTAGCAATGCAGTTCAAGGCATTCATTTTATATTCATATCCATTAACTACCTAATAATATTGTATCTTATACGTTCATATCGATTAATATAAATTATTTTAAAATACAACCAAAGTAATCTGTACATAATTACTATAAATACTCCTTATTTATCTTGCACTCTTTTTATATGTAAATCGCAAAATCTACTTGAAGCAGGAGTCAAAATAAAATTCAAATGGTTAAATACACAACAACAAGTAAATATTATTATTTTGTTATAATTATAACTATAGATTAATTAATTATTTGACCACAGGATTGCAGCGGTTAAATATTGCAATTTATGCTGTGAGCCAATATTTGTATTAGTCATATTACAAGTATTTTTCTTCTCTCTTATATTATAAAGTAGGACTGGGATGTTATCGTAATAAAATGGTGTTTTTTTTATATTTTATATTTATACATTAAAATATTCCAGAATTTTATTTAAATATACGTCATTAAAAATACCTATTGTCGATTTTGTATAAATAATACATTTAACTATAATTAGATTTAAACTGCATTGCTTTTATTCGTGTATTTTGCTTAAAGGTATATGCGATTAGAATATTCAATAGATATCTACATATTTAAACATAATATTTTTAGTGGAAATGTTTAGGCACTAACAACAGTAACAACACAGAAAACGCGATATATAAAAACATTTAGTGGATTAAATTAATATAACATAAATAGCCTTAAATATAGGTCAAATGCCACTTAAAGAGTTCGCGGCAAAGAAAAATTGCCAATATGTAATCAATTCTCGTTGAGTGTGAATTGAGTAAAGGGGGATGAGCTGGCGTCGACAGACGATTAATATCTAAGAAGGTTTTATGAAGGTCAATGCTGGAAAAAAATGTTGCATGAACTTAAAATGATTAGGTTCCTACTAAAGCTAATTTTAATGGACAACAATTGTGTGCTAAGTATATCTAATATGCAATTTGCCTAAGGCTTGCTTGATCAGACTAAAGAATACAGATACAATCCCTAGTGTGGCAAGAGTTTGTAGTAAAATACTTCGTTACGAAGAGTTAATCTGTAAATTTTTGCGACTATCCATACTAATATTATAAATGTGAAAGTGTATTTGTTTGTCTGTTTGTTTGTTTGTTTGTTTGTTTCTTTGTTTGTTTGTCCGTCTTTCACGTCTAAACGGAGTGACGGATTGGCGTGATTTTTTGTGTGAAGATAGTTGGAGGGCTGGAGAGTGACATAGGCTACTTTTTACCGCGGGAGATTATCTAATTCCCACGGGAATACACGTTATAATACAATCGAAAAAAAATATTTATGATCAGAATTACTTAAAACTTTGTATTATTGTTCTTAAAATTAAATAAATACGTGTTTTAGCATTTTTCGAAATTCATTCTATAAGGGGGTAAAATAGGGGATGAAAGTTTGTATGAAACTACTTTTTAAGAGATTTTTCTGTAGTTTTAGCGCGAGCGAAGCCGCAAGTTCTGGTAGTTATTTATATAAATACATAATAGCATAGCTAATAATAGCTTTACCCTATTTCCATTCTAGACTTTAGACATACAATTTGTGGGAAAAGAGAAGGAAAACAAAGAAAGAAAATACTAAAGAAATAAGATCTACGAATTATAATATAAAGTAACTAAGAAAAAATGCTCTTAACAATAAATACATAAACATGCGTTGCGAATTCGATAGAGACCGTGAAATAATGAAACGATATGACTGGAAAGAACTGACAAGTATAAACAAATGTCATAATATCAATAATAGTTATCGAAACTGAGAGTGAACTAACCTTTATTTAGGTTATAATTTTGCCAGAGAGCATAATAATTAAATGATAACATGCCTAATGGTTCTAATATAAGCTTATCATATTTCAAATATTAATTTATTCAATATGTATGTAGAATGATTACCTAAGTATAATATTTATACCACCAATGACTAATTTATTATTATGTAAATACAAGTTACTTGTACTTGTAAAAATTTAACAAGTCATTGTTTTAAATTTTAACCGAATTCAAAAAAGATCAAATAATAGAGCTGGTAAATTGCGATAAACGATTAGTGATTACATTTGAAATGAGGTCAATATCAGTTTTAAAGATAAATCGTAACAGATAGTTATCATAGTGATAAGAATATTGCTCCACAATAAGCAATATATTACAATACAAAAATCACCTAAAGTTACACGCGGTAGTTAAAAAACTTACATCGACTTCAAAATTACTAAAATGGATTGTTTTTTAATTTATATGGAAGCAGCTCTAGAAGTATAACCTTATTTATTAAAAAAATAATAGTGAAAAGAACTAAACCATACAGCACGTATCGAGTATCTGTTGTTTTTTGATAAAAGTGAAAACAGCTCGGAATTCAAAGTTGCAAACAAAGCAATCATGCAAAAAAAAAATTAAGTTACTCTATGAAAACTGAACAAAAATTTAATGATTATTATTTATTATAGTTAAAATGAGTGTTTATATTTTGTATTAAAATTTAAGTAATAAGTTAAATTCAAACAAGTACTCGTATACCTAATGTAGCAGATTTCTTATAACTACGTATCTTAAAAAAATACGTGGATGCATGACATGGAAAACAGAATTCGTTAAAATCTTCATTAAAATATAAAACCTCCCTACTATCACTTCTTTATCAAATCGAATCTTGATAAAAAAAAATATATCTTTTTTTAGTCTGTAAATTAGGTTTTTATTAGATTATGTGTATATAATGCCATTAATTATCAGCAATATGGTTTTCTTGTGTCGATATAGTTTTTCATAAAAAAATTATTGTTAGGAGTCTTATCAGACATTGGCCATTTACAGTTGATAATACATGCCTATATGGAGATTAAATTCCATATACACACTTTTATCTGATTTGAGCATATGATAAATAGACATTAGCTAAATGTTATTACAACTTCGCTTATCATAGTAATTGCGATGTAATATTGATAAACATATAGGTATCAATAAGCAAGAAAACGTAGAAATAAATCTCAAACAGTAGTATAGATAATACATCTATACATATAATAAAATTGTAACTAAGCCGAATCTGTACATTAAATATTTTTTGGAAAATCTTATTGCAATATACATTATTATCGATACAGAGGCTGAATCCATAGTTTTTAGAATTTGTGTCTGTCTGTCTGTCTGGGAACGAATCACGAGAAAACCACTGCACAGATTTTGATGAAATTTTATATATCATCACACCAAATATCATCAAAATCTGTATAAATAGCTGGTTACCCGGGTACTATTTTATTTATATATACGGGTTATACACACATATAGGATACTTTTTCCTGCGGAAAAATATTTCATCTATGAGAAATCTATACTAACCATTAAAACGTTCCTAGGGACGAACCCGAGCGGACCGAGGCTTCGTTGCTAGTATGTAGTAATTTGTTTTAACATTAAAAATATTTGGAAGATTATGTTAGAGGTTACATGATAGAAGATTTCAATGATATCTTTTAGATAAAACTTGTTACAGTGCACCCAGTACAAGAAGTATCTAGTAGTTTTATCAGTTTATCAATTTAAAAAAAAATTAAATGTAGATAAATGAAGTTTTTTAAGCTAAGTATTAGCCGTTATTGTAAAGTAGATAATTGTAGCTACACATCATAAAATTCTAAGAACAAAATATTAGTTTACTGTTGTAGAGTATATTAACAACATAGGTATCAATAAATCGACATAATGCATTGAACGTATGAATGCAGTTGTGTAGTGGACAACGTGACCAGAATTCACAGGAAACATGTAGCCGGAATCATGAATATCATCATCATCATTATGGACATGGAAAAGATATTTATTGGATTTTAACTTACTAATAACATTACAAAAAAAAGCACTTTGGTTATTCCCTTAAATTACATTTTAAACTCTGATAAAAACATTGTCAAAATTGTTGATGAAAACAAGGTTGAAAGAACCTATATCTTTAATTTAGATATATGTTATATTCACGAGTTATTTCGCAGGTGTGTGATGTGATGTAAGTTAATTCACAAGAGCTGTACCAAATTTTCTTTAGATGTATTATAATAAAGATTAACCTTGGTGTTATAGTATTAAAAATTGATATTGGTGTGTGCGCGAATCAAATTGAATGATAAGAATAGAATTTTATTTATTGTTTAGATGGTAAAAATACAAACTATTAGAGCTTTTATAAAACTCTTTAAAATTGTAGAGCAAAAAAGCTATTTTGCGAACCGATGGTGCTTTAATCGCCCCATGTGGATGGATTTTCATTAACGAGCTTTTGTACCTTTAGTTACAACTTATTTTCTATCTAAATAATTAGCTTTGTAATAAAATCTTTGATTTTTATTTGTAGTATTGTGTGTAGTATTTTATTTGTAGAGATTTTAAATATTTTACGCACTTACCTACTTCAAATCCAGATGATAATATAATAATTTGATATCATCCAGCTGATCTTAGAATTCTGTCAGTGCTGTTTGGTAAAATTCTTTAATGGCTAGTAGTAAAATCTTGATTTGACAAGTCACTACATACATTTAATTAAAGTTGTGTCTATTTTAGATTTTTTAAATATTTTAATTGTATGTAATAAATAATAAGTCTTACCAGCTGCTAGATATACTCCTGACAGCAAACTTCCAACCCAGGCAACAGTTCCTTTGCCTTCTCCAAAATACGTAACCAATTCTGGTAAAAATATACCGAAGGTATAAGCTATGCCGTCCACTATCAGATTACACATAAAAGAGGCGAACACCACCACCCAGCCATAGCCACCATCGGGTGGAGGTGGCAGTTCATACTCGTAGGCGTCATCGTCATCTGCGTCTGCACCTTCTGCGGTTAAGCGCGCTGCTTCTTCACAGGAAGCTTCACTTTCAGTCTGAAACAAACGTAATTTTCCGTATATAATAATAATAAGGAATTTTATAAAATGTTATGTTTAAAAACTTATAATGTAATGTTTAGTCGGGTAAATATTTTAATGGTTGTTCCATAATACGACAATAGGTAATCAATCATTAGCGAAGGTTAAGGTATTTTTTTAGAAATGTGCCTATCTAAAACAAACAAGTTCTTCTGGAAATTATATCAAATTCCGTAATAATATTCTAAATAATAATAGCATACTCATATTATGTAGTAATATGTACATAATTTATATACATATAATGATTAATCTGAGTCGAATCTGTACATTTAATATTTGGAAAATCTTATTGAAATAGTCATTATTATCGATACAAAGGCCGAATTTATACTTTTTAAAATTTTTGTCTGCCTGTCTGTCGGGAACGCATCACGAGAAAACCACGGGAAAGACTTTGATGAAATTTGGTAAGATTAGATGGTCATCTGGGTCAACATATAGGATACCTTTTACTGCGAGAAAATATCTCATCTCTGAGAAATCTGTACTAAACGTTAGTAATAATATGACTGCACACATTAATATTTTCATTTTATGTACAAAGTTATTGTTTAATCAGTTTCTAGGAACGCTTGTGTTATGTAACACGAGTATTATAAAATGACTTCATCATAAGATCAATCTATCTACGCGGTCATTGTCAAAGACAGCGTGAGGTGCGGATACTAGTTTTTAAGGTCACGTTGAGCACGTGGTATGTATGATAATTAATTACGTTTTGTGTGCATATTGATAATTTTACTGTTTGTGTTAAGTCTGGAGGACTTTAGTAAAATTTTTTTATGAAATCTATACATATGATAAAATTGTAACTAAGCCGAATCTGTACACTAAATATTTTTTGGAAAATCTTATTGAAATAGATAGTTTTATCGATACAGAGGCCGAATCTATAGTTTTTAGAATGTCTGTCTGTTACCGCATCACGGAAAAAACCACTGGAGGGATTTTGATGAAATTTGGTATGGTGATAGCTGGTTATCCGGATCAACATATAGAATACTTTTTACCGCGGGAAAATATCTCATTTCTGAGAAAAAATACAAAAACTGCAATGTAAGAGTATAATACTAATATGTAAAACCTAAGAATTTGGTTTTTGGTCATCTGAACGCGGGCAATGCTAGTTAATCATATAAATGAATCAGTCTACTGACGGATATTCATTTAATAAATTAATTAATAACAAAGCAAACTTTAGTTTCAATGTAGATTGCAGATCCAAAGGCTCTTATATTAAACTAGAATCTTGTTTATTGGTTGTGGAAAAATAGAAAAAAAAGCGGGCGAAGTATTTTTTGCATTTAATGTAACTACATCGAAGAATGATCTGTTCATGGTTGAACCAAGGACAGTTAGTCACTACCTACTACCATAAGTGAATCACAAACAAATTTACACATGGGACGCATTGATCAATCTCGTGGTAATTGTTTGCGTCAAGCTATCGAGAAATAAGCTAAAGGACTTACTTAATTAGATATTATATACATATACTAAACATTTGAGCAGATTCTCTTTATATCAATTATAAGTTATAACTAAACATTGAATGTATCTATGTAGTTGCGGAGTGCTAGAACAACGATACAGCGTAAATGTAAATAACAGCTGCGTCTGTAATACAAATGTTATCTCCAATAGTAACGATTGTCCTGAATGTGCTAGGATAGCTGTTGTTTATGATACTAATGTATCAGTTCTTTGTGCGGCGGTGCACGTAGATTGCATGCTGGCAGAGGGTTATTATTTGTAGCTTTATCTATACTAATATTAGAGGTAAAGTTTGTGAGTTTGTGACGTCGTAGGGGGTAAGGGGACATAGGATACTTCCTCATCCCTTAAGGGGGTGAAAATGGGGATGAACGTTTGTATAGGGAATCAACTTAGGGACGAACCCGAGCGAAGCTAGGGTGAGTCGCTAGTTGTAAATATAAACGTTGTGTTATTAAAATGTATTAGTATAAAGTATTTCTTGTATCGAAAAGAGTAATAGCTTAATAATTATTACGATATATTTATAAGTGTAGTTATAACTTAGAAAAATTTAGCTGTGAAAAAAATATATATGCGATATTAGTCTATTAGCTAATTATTGTATGGTTATTATACGAGTATATTATGTGACCTGCATAATGCATTGTTAGTACCTACCGTCAAACCAATTGTGCTGTTTTATGGGTTTGTATGTAAATTTTTAATAAAAATTCATTTTTTTTTAATAATGAACCGAATAATGATAAAAGTATCGTCATTGATATAAACACGGAGGTCCTTTTTGTTACAGAGTGAGTCATTTAGGAGGAAAATTTTGTAAATTTACAAATTTTAGAGTCAACAAGTTTAATCGTTTATAAATGATAATGTTTGTAGATTTAAATGTATGTTACAATGAATGAAAATATTTCGTTACTTTTTAGATCCTAATTCAAATCTTTTACATAAAATAGTAAATACTGTATGTAAATATAAAAGTATATAACCTAAGATAAGTACATACTAGTATTAGACACAGAATAAGTGAAACTTCTAGTGCCAGATAAAAGTAATCTATACTTATTACTTACCTATATAATAAGGCCGAAGAGATTGTTTCATTTCTTGTTTGAACACTCTAACTCTTAGAACTACCAGTAGGATTTGAAAATACTATCTTATAGCCTATTTGTTTTAAGTGGTTATAACTTATATGTAATATATAGGTATTCGAACATCAGGCTACGAACTTCAGGATCAGAGGAATAAATAAACTACACGAGCGTAGCCGCGGGCAACAGCAAGTAAGATAATAAAATAGCCAAAAATAAATACTGGCTTAGTAACAAATTATAAAATGAATATGCTGATAAGACGTCAATAAAGGGATTGTATAAAAAACACTGCAATTAATTCCTCAGGAATTAATTTGATAAAATTATCAACGCTTTGGAATCTTTGTATAGACAAGATAATATCTATATCTAACTATTAATTATTAAACATTAATTATGTATATGGACTTATGTAGTTAAATATCAAAGAAAACTATAATGATCGTAAGAAATTCATTGTTAACTGTAACACCGGTGATTTATATAAAAATAGGTCTATCAGTCCACACTAACATTTTATTATAGTTTAGTTGATGGTATATTCTAGCCATCGGAAGTTCTATTTCTATACATTGGAACTAGCGACATTACCCTCGTTTCGCTCGGGTATGGTACCTAGGTGCCTAACAATGGCCTATGTGTTAGTTATTACACCAGATCTTAGTCTATTTATATACTAAACATCCAAATCCATCCAGCTGTTTTAGCGTGAAAAAAAAAAACAAATACATAAATAACTATTTGAATTTACAACACATACATATGTACTAATTTGCATTTATAATAGTAGTCCAAAATTAAATTTATATGTAATATGTATGTATAATAAATAAATTACTATAATTAATGCTGTGATTATAATTTGACTTTGTACTTTATAATTTTTATGTATATAGAGATTTTATTATAAAAAGAACCAAGTTTCCGACCTTGTTTTTGTTTACATCGCACACCTGTTATACTGATTTATTTTCTTAGTATCACGTACCGTGCTCACCTACGCTTAGCACGAGGAAACTCGATATTATCATATACGTGAATTCATAGTAACCAAGGAATTCATACAAAGGCATTCCTCTAAGAATGTGGATTAAAACCACAACATTGACCAAAGAAAAATAAATGTCAAAACCGCTATTAGGTATGAAGTATTCGAATTCTTACATGAAAGGAATAAACGCATAGCACTATAACAAAGGCCTTATTTCATTCCAATTAAGACGGAAAACTCAGTTATAGGAAGCAGCGCTAACCTTCATTCAAACGTTTGAATATTTCATATCGTACACACTTTGGAACGTTGCAGTTGCAGAATGCATACTATGGAGTCTTCTGGTAGTTATAGAATTAATTATACACCGTGGTCCAAAATAACGTTGACAAAATTAAAAAAATAATATTTTAAAAATGCAGTGTGAGATAACATTCTTGGTGTTAGTCGTCAGCTATTCTTCAGCAATTAAACGTTATGTTGGGCTCGGCCACATCGGAGACCGTCCTGGGAGAGGACGCAAGCGGACTGTTCGAACTGCTAGGAAAAATGTCGCGAGACTTGGGGATAAGTCACTCCACCGTGCAGCGTATAGTGAAATATGATCTCCAATTGATACCAACTCAGAAAAGCGCATTCAAATTGGAAAAATATCGTATTCTCCGACGAAAAATTGTTTTCGATAGAACAAGCCCATAATCACCAAAATGACAGGATCTGGTCTTCTACTCGTAAACGCAAAATCAATTATGGTTTGGGGTGCAATTTGCGCCACTGGCAAAACTCCCCTCGTTTTTGTAGAAAATGGTATAAAATTTAACCAAGGAAATTACCGACGAGACATTCTTGAATCTGTGGTTATTCCTTGGAGTCAACAGCACTTTGGTAATCATTCATGGATATTTCAACAAGACTCTGCTCCAGCTCACAGAGCTAATTTGTGGCGCCAGTTAGGAATGCATCATATAAAGTTTTTTTTAAATTTAGTAATAACATTATTTCCTTACATCTGCCTAATCTATAGATATAACAACATTGTAACTAAGCCGAACCAGTACATTAAATATGTTTCGGATAATCTTATTGAAATAAACATTATTATCGATACAGAGGCCGAATCTATAGTTTTTAGATTTTTTGTCTCTGTCTGTGACCGCATCACAAAAAACCACTGGAGGGATTTTGATGAAATTTGGTATGGTGATAGCTGGTTATCCGGGTCAACATATATGATAATTTTTACCGCAGGAAAATATCTAATTTTTTGAGAGAAAAATACAAAACTACAATGTAAGAGTATACTAATATGTAAAACCTAAGAATTTGGTTTTTGGTCATCTGAACCTTGGCGGAGCCGCGAGCAATGCTAG